TTTTTTCCCTCTCTTGTGATCCTCCTTTCACGCCTGCCTTCTCGTCCGTATCCATTCGTTCGCACATTTTGCACATGCACGTGGAACTTCCCAAGCAGTTTCTCCTTGTGCTTGTTCCGTTGTCTGTGTCAATATCCGACCAAATCCACCGACTGGCTGAGGCTCAACTTGTTCAACTAGCACACATATGCACACATCCTCCCACACACACACAATTAAAAAGACTGGCATTGACATGCTCTAACTCCCAAACACAAACACAAAGAAGTGACCACATTTGATTTTGAAAAAGCGCAGCTCCATTTTTAGGGTATATAAGCCTTCAGGACTGCGTCAGAGTATGTGCATGACTAAAGAAAGAAGGTTTTCTATTAGATTTGAGTCGGCTAGAGAGAGAGAGAGAAAGAGAAGAGCGATGCAGAGAGTTGCCGTCATTTAAACTGTTCTGCACTGAGGCTTTTCAATTTTATTATGAGGCTCCATTTCATACAACCTGGAAGCCGTGTGCCATTCAGAATGAAATTGAGCCGTTGGTCGACTGAATAGGCCGCCTGCCCCTGTGTCTCCTTGTGAGGGCATCAGGGGACAACAAGGGCAACGCTGGCCTGCCGTGACCTTCCGCCACACTGCTTTGTCGGGTTGCAGGGGAAATGCAGAAAGAGACGCTTGGGTAGCTGGCTAAGTGGGCGCAAGCATGGTAAGTGATTGAGTGCTTTGAGATTTTGGAATTGGATGCAAGGATCCTGCTACAAACTCTGTGAAAGAGAGGAGAGGAACAGGGGAGGAAAAAGTCAGACGTGCATGTTGGTGTTTTCATTCCCGGATGTCTAGACATGTCTCAGTGTTCACAAAAATCCGACAGACGCACGGTTTGTCCATATTCGGGTCAGTCCTGACCTGGTTCACTGACGACTGATGGCCAGAACGCGTAACTAAAGATGAGGATGTAACAGCAGCCCTGCTGTCTCTGTGTCCATCAATCCTTGTCATTTACGTTTCTGGAGCAACACTTCCCGGGATGTTCTCCTTTTACGTCTCAAGCTCCCACTTTGTCTTGCAAATGTCACAACATGGCGACTTGACTCTGATTTATCGACATGTAATCAGTCATTGGAAACCAAATCTCATTTTTCACCTTTTAGTTTTAAACATTTTATGGGAAAATTCTCTATTAGAGACTCAAAGTATTTATATTTACTGGTGGAACTAAAAGTTACATTGCAAATAGGATACGATGCATTTGAATGTTTAAAAAATATATATATATTATTGTTCAGTTTCCAAATCAGGGGTGAAATGAGTCCACACAGTGTAGCCATTTTCAGAAATGAACTATGGAAAATGTTCACACAATCGGTTCAGAGTTTGTCCGGAGTTTGTCTGTTATATTTGAAGAAAGCAGCAGGAAATTCTATGAGTCAGATGCGTTCACAACAGGAAAGTGACTATTTTGTTCAGATGAGTGATGATGCAGGAGGCAGGTCAGGACAAATAAATTCTGCGGTGTTGTTTACAGCACGTTGACATTGGCATCAGCCTGTATCCCTGAAACCTTTTAAATCTCGATGTCTCTCAAAATCGACACATTCGTTGGTGTCATCTTTGTGTACGACATCTCTTTTTTATCCTGAGATATTTGTATGCTTTTTGTTTGTTCTCAGGTTTGCATACGTTGCGTCTTAAAAACGTCATCAACAAACTTACTCAATAGTGGCCAATTCTCTTGTCAGTATCCTGCTCTGTTCTCACATGGGCTCACTCAACATTATCTGGAGTTTTTACTGAGGGGCTGGGAGGATAAAATCTGGAGATTGTTGGTAACCTCTCATTCGGACATTTGTTCTTTCACACATCCCCTCCGGATAATATCAGGGGATCACATGGAGTTCAGCGCATGTCCGAAAGCAGCTTCAATGATTTGGTTGTGCAGTCTGGGGCAGGTTGATTTTATGTTTAAGAGAACCCTGTCAGTCATCTCACGTAAAATCACGGTTGCTCAGAGGTCAGAGGTCACTGTGATCTATTGATCCACTAATACAACCAATGATTTTTGGGTGTGTTGTGTTTGTTTTTGACTTGCTGTTGTCTCTTGACTGAAACTTTACTTAAAAACAGGCCAGACTCTCAAATATGCCATACAGCTTTACAGCCATGTTATGAAATGTAAACGGTAGAAAAAGCACCCCTGTCATTTGAAGGGTTAATGGTTCAGTCCTTGAGCAGGGGATTACACCCCAAATTGTTGTGTGTGAGGAAAAGATCAGAGTTTTCTCTCAAATTAATGTTATGTAATTTGAGTTGAATGGTTGTAACTCAGGGCTGTGATGAGACAATAGTAGAGCAAACAGTAAAAATACACTCATCAATACACAAAATGATATAAATAACATTTTCTGCAAACCTTTGTTTGAGGTGTTCTCAAACAATTCTTCTCATATTTCATAGCCCAGGAGCCACATTTGCATATCAAGCATCTCAGAATCTCTCTGAAAGTTTGACTGGGACTAAAAATACTACAGAGTTATTTACTTTGTACAGCGATGCAGGAAATTCTCTTTTCAGAGTGAATGACATGATGTTGTGACACTGAAAACCGAAGGAATAATGACATTTTGTAGTCGCTTAGTTATCACGTGGATTCAACACATTTTGAAATGACTGACAGGCTGATGTTGATCATGATGCAGGAATGAAAAGCTCACTAAAACTTTTTCAGTACATATTAAAGTAGCCTACTGGAATTAGTTTTGATGCCTTACACTAGTTGAGACTGTCTGTCAAAGTCTATGCAAATTCGTGCTTATTTATATTTTTCATATTGAGTGGTCATATTTGTGTGCTGCTCCTGATGCTGACACAATCTAATCTGTGTTAAAACTTTAAACCTTTTTAAAAGTAAAAAATATTTACTGACCGAACCTTGTTACATCTCATGTTATTCCAATAAATATAAAATTATTCAGCATATCTTTAGAACTAAAATCAAATTTCCAATATTCAGCTCTCTGTGCATTTTGAACCACTATCGGCGTATCAGTAGCTTTTTCTACAGTATTTCCTGTCATTCAAATCGAAAGTTCACTCGCTGCACCGTCTTCAAAAGTGTAGAGGGGTCCTAATGGCACAGATTAAAAAGCAATTTAATACAGAAAAGGGGATTAGAAACACTATGGGCTGCACTAATCCTTAACCTTTAGTCCTGTTCTCATGGAGCCACAATATGTGCGAGACGATAGTATCACAGGACCGGAGTTAGTAAATTTCCATCAGGGCCGCCCTTCTTTATTCCCACCAGCACATTTAAAGGCATTAGGCATGCTTTGTCAAGGCTAATAAAAAGGGCCAGCAGTGCTATCACACACCCCCGACTTGTTTCGGGAAAAGCACTGTTCCATGTGAAGTTTTCATAAGCCATTATGATAATCTGCTGGAGTCTCTGAAGGACAGGGGATAGACAGGCAGATAGATGCTGCTGGGTGACTGCTCGACAGCCTTTGCATGGATGGAACATTTTCTGTGTAACCGTGACAGAAACTCCCCACTGTCTGCCAAGAAGAGCAGAAACAAAAGACTAAGGGCTCGAATGATCTGGGAGCATGGTCTATATCTTGTGACGCATGTCCATTCAGGGTGTGTCCAAGTCCACTTTTGCTTTTTTAACAGCAGAAGAAAAGGTCACTTCGCCAGGCCCCGTGATTCAAAAGGGATCTACTCAGTCTCTTAATTTATCATGGGTGTGTTTTGGGCGTAACGCATAAGTCGATACTGCTCTGTCCCTGTCTCTACAAAAGCCATGGTGATTTCCATTATATGGTGATGGTATTTTCCAGGTAGGAAGAGAGAATGCAGAAGAAAGGAGCAGATCATCTGTGTAAAAAGTTTACCAATGACATGGGCGCACGTTAGTATCTTGATAAAATAACAATACAATACGGCACCACATTATTGTTGCCCAAAAGTGCAACCATGCTCTACTTCCTCAAGAGAGTGATGCACCAACCTGACCACACCTCATTTGAAGACCCATGGGGGCTCAGCTGAGCACAAGTCCATTTGCTGTTTCTACTCTGGATGGTAAAATAACAATATCCCAGTATCCACTGAATCAATGTGGAAGTGATTTACATATTTGTGATGTATTCTCTCCCATCACATTAAAATTTCTGTGTTCCTCATCTTGCCCCCAAGTTGCCCTTTACCTCAATACACTACATTTAGAGTTCTTGGTTTCCTTTGAGTTCCTAAAGAAAATGTTTTCTTTGTTTTCTCTTAATGGAGTTGGATTCTAACATTTGGTCTCTGAGGCACGCCTGATTTGAGAAGCTCTTCGTCCCCGCTCTCTTTTGGGAAGCCCTCCGCTCATCTCTGCGAGGGAAAAGTGTTTCTCCGACAAGGAAACAGGGTCATGGCGACCATTAATCATTCATATCTAAATTTGTGCAGTGCAAAGATTCAATTTTCTGCACTTTGTAGGGTCTTCTATTGGTTATATGGTTTTATTTATACATCAAAGCTCATTCATTATTTATATGTTTTTGAGCCATCTACTTTTGATGCCATTTTCTTGAAGGAAAACCTCATGAACCATACTGTCCAATAAAGGAAAAACACAAGGGGAGCTCCCCACTGTTGTGGTATAACCGCAAAACTGTGACTATTTCAACATTCACTAACACGGACATAAAAACAATTCATGAGCAACCAACTCTCTGTTACCGGCGCTCAGCAGACCTTGGATATTTGGAAGTCTGAAACGAGAAGTGTTGATATTTTGGGTTGTATGCTGGCCACATGTCCTGCTGAGCTCTAAATCTGTCTGCTTTTGTAACCAAAATTGTTTTGCTAGATCCTTCCCTCTCCAGAGCCACAGAGATACAACTCCCACATCAATGCTCTATTTAAAGTCCATCAGTGTGTTTGGCTCTTCAACCTACTGACGAGTTTCTACTCCCTATTTGTTGTGATAGTATTGTACTCATCACGCTCCTCTCTGTTCACAGGCCACTACTGAGCAGAAGAAGCTGAGCCATGCTGGATCCAAGCCCTCCCTCTCTGAGAGCAGCGGCCGACTCCCTCAGATAGCCATGAACACCTGCAAGTACAATGGCGGGGTGGTGAGACCACTAGTTGGCAGCCTGGCGTCCTCGTCGCGCCGCAATCTTGCGGAGCTCGACTCGGAGACGCAGCCCTTGCAGACGCTGCACAGCTCTGGCCTGGAGGTGGTGGTGTCCAAGGGCAACGGCGGCGAAGACCCCAGCAAGGCATCCAACGAGAGCTTGGTCAGGGAGGGCAGCGGGCGTAGTGGTGGCAGGGCACCGCAAAAGAAAAATAGGGACATTGGCTACAAGCTTGGCCACAGGAGAGCGCTGTTTGAGAAGCGAAAGCGGCTCAGCGACTACGCGCTCATCTTCGGGATGTTTGGGATTGTTGTCATGGTGACAGAAACGGAACTGTCATGGGGGGTTTACACTAAGGTAGGTTGTGCATGTGCGTGATGAATGAGTGGGAGCTTTGTGTATTGTCACTGCTATTGTTAATGTTGTTAATGTTTGAGTTGCGTGGGGTTGGCAGCTGTCAGATTTATGAAGAGTGATTATTAGACTCTGACGTACATTGTCTAACAAAGTGTTGGGACTGATGCACAAATAAAATATGTGTCATGTGATCGGCATAATGAGTAATAGTCTGTATATTGGATTCATTCTCAGATTGTCTCTTTTTTAAATTTTACATGATATACGGTTAGGTAACTAGTTAAAAATGTTTAACCTCATCTCACACCAGTGTGGTTGTATCTTTAATTAAATCTATGTGTTTGTGAAGAGAAATAAACAAGCACAGTTAAAGAGAAAGATCATTAGAACCAAAGATGAGAATGAAGTTCCTGATGATTTAAATTTCCTGAAAGTATCTTTTACTTTTAGTGGATCAGGGTAGAGACACGCAGCAAGGCAGTTTACACCTAAAGTCACAGTGGCCAAGTCACCACCTGTTGACCTGTTATTGTCCTTTTGTGTCAGCCACTCAGGTCACTGCTGTGTCAGGGTATTTATGGAGGAATATTGAGCTCTCAGAGCCTCTACCACGTTATTTACTTGGCTGTTTGGATTGGAGCTGACACTGCATTATTCTGCAGTTTGTGACAGGTCAGAGAAGCTGCATCTGTTTATGAGTATAAACTGAACAGGACTGCTGCTGGTTGTTGTGGTTTTAAAAGCATGAGCCTACTTATTGTGTATGATTAACTGATGACATGAAATGTGACAAGAAGAACATCACAGACACCTGACGTGTCATAGCATCATAAAGTTGCTATAGAGCTAACACAAAAGCAAAACATTATCCCTTTTTCATTTCAGTGGCTGGATGCTAACTGTGTCTATGCTGGCCATTTACTAACTTTGATGTTTTTACTATCCGCTAACTAACGGTTGATATTAGTGAACTAACTTTTGGTCCAAGCTTGTAGCTATTTCCACAAATGTTGGTGCTCAAAAGAAAGTATACAAAGGGATATATCAATTTATCAGAGCTTTTTTTAATTGATTACAGCAGCTTGTTGTTTCTGGAAAAAGTGGGAGGCCCAAATCAAACCAGGGGTTGATAACAATAGACAACAATTTGTATTTGACCATTATGAATGGTCACATGGTGCCACAAGGGACCATTTTCAACTGGTGCTTTTAAGAATGCTTTAAATTCATTATCTATACCGTCAGTAATGTTGTCTGTCAGCTCTCAAATGTTGGGAACAAATTAAAGGTGTGGTGAGTTGTAGAAATGTCAGTATTGATATGTATATATGAATTCTAAGTTGGGACTAAAACATACAAACCACTGCTTTAGCTTCCACTCTCAAGAGATAGGATTTGTTCCCCCACTTGTGTCTAACAGTTGTATTTGAGTTTTTAAATGTATATTTGATTACGAGAATGTGTGTGTGTGTTGTGCGCAGTAAAGTAAATCAGTGTGGGAATCTCTAGGATGATTTATGGGGTTTTAAGAAAGTCAATAGGTTTGTCTGAGTGTTACTGAGTGGGGTTCAGTCCATTCATCACGCTGACCCCAGCTGAAATGGAAATGACCTCCTATCTCTGAGTGGCACCGTGATGGGAGGTCACATCAGACAGTTAGCATGTCACATCATGCTGCAGACACTTGAGGCTCTGCCTAGATTTTCTAAGTCCTGAAGGAGGGAGACACTTTAACTGGCGGTGAGCGCTGGGACTGAAAAATCCTTGAACCTCTGGCAGGTGGATTAATTGGTTTACTCAATGTTATTTCACCAGGGACTTCTCAAAACAATTTCAGACATTAGAATGTCTTGCGAACATGTCGCCGACCTAAGGGGCAAAGCAATCTAGTTGATAGCTAAAAATACATTCTGTAATATGGACCATCGAAGGACGGAGTAATGTTGAGCAGCTCTCACTGTCATCACACTGACAATTATGAATGATATTTCCACTTGTTGTTTCTGTCATTTGTTTGTAGCTGTTATTATAATAACAACCCTATGATCGTTAACCCGCTGCAGAGTGGCGTTTTTACATCATGGTTGTTAAATTGATTTATCAAATGGCATTTTACCAACTCAGAGGGTGGGGGGGGGGGCCTGCGTAGTACAGGTTCTCATTTCCTAGATCTATGGCCCCCATGTACACACTCAAACACACACACAAACACACACACACACACACACACACACACACGCTGCATTAGCACCCAGCTGGTCTATTTATCATCAGCCGCACTTACTGTGGTGGCCTCCCTGCTAATGCTAGCGTTGCCTTTTTTGCACCTACCATTAAATGGAAAGTCCCCCCGTTAGTGCCACACTTTGATTAATTGTTAGTTTGGTCAGTGGGGAACATTGTCCATGGATAATATGAGGCTACACCTGCAGCTGCATTGTTTAGTAACATCCTGACTGCACCGTTTGTGTGTAAAACCCTATTAACTGGTCTCAAATAGACGTTTAAAGTAATAAGTAGTGTGTGTGTGTGTGTGTGTGTATGCACTGTTGCATAAACATGTTCATTGTGTTGTTTGGTGATATTTATGCTGCTCCTGTTCTTTTTTTAAAGCTATACCATATGAAATGTTGAGCTACAGCAAATACCCTCAGATTTCTACCTACGTTGCTTAACTACCTGATTTCACCTTGTTGCTAAGCAGTTACCAGACACCATTGCGATCTACTGATGCTAAATATAGAAAATAGCTGAAATGCTCATTGACAATGAATAGAAGGAGATCCCTTGTATTCCCATATATAAGTACAGATTGTATGTGATGATAAAGTGTGTTCATGGTTGCTGATATTCCTTCCTCTCTTTTTTTCTCTCACTTCAGGAATCTTCATACTCATTTGCACTGAAATGCCTTATCAGCCTTTCCACTGTTATATTGCTTGGTCTTATAATAATGTACCATGCCCGGGAAATCCAGGTGAGTCTGCCACAGAAAAAAATACTTTTTATCTAATTTATTATACCAACATGATAATGATGGTAGCAATAATCATTATAATGAGGAATAACTGAGCCAAAGTGAAAATAGTTTTGTATTATTTGTATTGTGTACGGTTTGGCCATCTGTCCCATTTTTGTGAACAAGATATCTCAAGGGGGAATTTCTTCTAATTTGGTGCAACCATTCACTTGGACTCAAAGATGAACTAATTAGATTCTGATTAGTCACTGGGACCTTACACACAACGCTTTTGGTCTCAGAAACACCTTGTGGGGAATGTCTCAAATTTGGCAATTATGTTCATTTAGACTCACAGTTGAAATGATCAGATTTGAGTGGGTCAAGGTCACTGACCTCACACATGTTTTAAGCCAATTGAACATGATATCTCAAGTATTCCTGTAGATAATTTCTTCAAAATTTGACCAGTTGTCCCTTGGACCTGATTCGATTTCAGTGGTCAAAGGTCAAAGGTTGCAGTGACACATTTATGTGTATTGAAACTGCACAGGTCGGCAGAGGTTTACAACTACACAGCAGTAATTCTGGTTAATGTCACATATTATGGTACACAAATGGATCTTACACATGTGAATGCATGCTTGATTGAGTGTTTTTTTTGCACAAAATTACTATGTTTAATGATTAGTCACTAACAATTACTGTTGTCCAGGTTCGTTCATAGTAATACATTTTCTCTTCTCATTTTATGTTTTTGTTGTTCAGTTTGGTTTGAAGTTATTCTGGATTACATCCAATATTTAGCATTTAGTGTTCTTTATCTGTTTGGTCTCAGCTGCATCAAAGTTATCACATTTTACTGCTACAAGTTATACAAAACTGAACAAGCTGACTCCCAACCCAATTTTAGCATGACCTCTGAGGACCTTGGTTAGAATTTCAAAATACCTGGCTCCCAACGAAAATCTGAATGTGGCTGTAGAGGAAATAAAAAGAAGTTCTAATGCAAGTTGTGTTTTGTTTGTCTTTTCTCAGCTGTTTATGGTCGACAATGGTGCGGATGATTGGAGGATAGCCATGACGTATGAGCGGATCTTCTTCATTGTGCTAGAGCTGCTGGTGTGTGCCATCCATCCCATACCAGGCCAGTACGTGTTCACCTGGACGGCGCGGCTGGCCTTCACCTACACGCCATCGGTGGCGGACGCTGACGTGGACATCATCCTCTCCATCCCCATGTTCCTGAGACTCTACCTGATCGGCAGGGTCATGTTACTCCACAGCAAGCTGTTCACGGACGCCTCGTCTCGCAGCATCGGCGCCCTCAACAAGATCAACTTCAACACACGCTTTGTCATGAAGACCCTCATGACCATCTGTCCAGGAACTGTCCTGCTGGTTTTCAGTATATCCTCCTGGATCATTGCTGCATGGACTGTGCGCGTCTGCGAGAGGTAAACACAGGGTTGTCAATAATGGCCGAATAATGGATGATATGGAAACACTAAATCTTGGATACACAATCACACGTTGTGGATTACTAGACACCTTTTCCTGCTTCACACTTGTCACTGTTTTGTCCTGCGTCTCAGTGTTACCTTGTTTTCTGTCACTCATCTACACTGGTGTGAAATCATCAGGATAGGTTACATGTCGATACTATACACATGTGGTACAGGAAGGCAAACACAGACGCGCCCACTTACTACTCCGCTAAGTGTTTAAAAACACCATTATCTTCGTTTCGTTAGCTCAGCAATCGCTCCACGTCTTCCCGTTCATACGTTTCTACTGCTATTTTAGATGTCTTGTCCATAATTCATGAGTGTCTAATTGTTTGTTTGCTGAGTGGTTTGTTTTGATAATGCAGAGCAGCCCCCAGGATCCCCTAACCCGTTTTCTCCCCAAAACTGCGCATCGGGCTTCGTCTCAAGGGGGCAGCAATGATTCTCACTGAAAATGAAAGAGGCAGGGAGAAATGAAAAGCTTTTTTTTTCTTTCTCGTTTGGCATTTGCATAGGGAAATGAGACATTAATGCCAGCTTTGATGTTTTAAAGTCATTTTTGCATAGTTGGGGTGGGGAAGGGGACTTGAGTAGGGTGGGTGGAGTGGAAGATCTATACCAGCAGTTCTTGTCAGGCCTGATATGCTACTGTACATGTGCAGCACTGTGGAAGTTAAGCCTCGGCTCAGAGGAAGGCTTTGCTCTCAGTCTCTCAGCCAGGACCTTACCACAAATGCTCAGCGTCCTTCTGCAGTTCGCCTCGCCTGCTTTTACTAAGTACCTCCCCTCCCTTCCTGCGCCTCTCCTCTTTACTACCCCACTCCCCCCATGTTAACACCTGTCACTAACTTAACCGCCCTCGCACGTTCAACCCCGGATCTTTTCCAACCCTCAGTACCTCTTAACAGTTGACCAGTTGGTTTGACCCTCACTGGGGGAACCCTACCAGCTGATCTTTGACAGCAGCTCCACTGGAACACAGTGGCAGGGCAGTGAGGTGTAACAGACATCAGAAGTCTCCCTTAACTTGATATTTACATCTGTTGAAAACAACACAATGGCCGCTAACAGTTTGAATACTGGCCTCATCCATACTACTATGTTTTCGTATAAAAATGCATTAAATCTGCCGAATACGTTTTAGAGTTTTAGAGCAGCTAAACCTGGGATGCTTGGAAATGATTTCCCTGTTTTAGCTTCAGTCTGGGGCTGCGTTTTAGTCTGGATGGGCACAACCACTTGCTGATTGGGTCTTTTCAGTCACGATGTAGCCTTCACTGATTGTTCATGCTCCTATATCATGACCCCCTTTCAGAGGAAAACAATCATCACCAGCCTCGGCTACCAGTGTAGAACACAACATGGATAATCAATCACATTAAAATTAAATTCTGCTTTTTACAATATTACAACTGTTTACATGTAGGAGACAAGCTGTTATTTGAACAATTTTTGTACCCCTGCACCTGTGCATGTGAGTGGTCCTGTGATATAACTTTCAGGCATTTTATCATGGACGAGAAAAAAACAAAACTCTTAAGCAGACAGAGATTGTTTTAGTTTGAAAACGCTGTTTGAAAACGTAGTAGTACGGATGTAGCCTCAGTTGTGTCTCTGAGGTAATGGCTACACTCTTATTATTAACAACCTCCAACATGAAATAGGCTGGTGCCATGGTTTGGTCTTAAGTAACTCATTTTCTAAAACATGAACTCCACACTGGATAACTGACCACTAAGTCCATAGTATGCTGGTGTCAGTTTGGAAATCTGAATGTATACACATGATTAGACTAGAACCACAGAAATCTAGCAGAGCCGTGGTACATTTGTTTGCACACACACACACACACACACACACACACACACACACACACACACACACTTCCATGAGCAGTGCATGCTGTTATTCTTTTAGTTTCAGAAGAACAGCAGGGTGGATATGTGTTTGTGTGTGCTACTATGGATAGGTGCCAGCATGCACATGTAGGTATGTGTGCGTGCATGTGTGTGTGTGTTTGTATAATGTTTTGTTGTACTTTCTATTTCCCCACTATGCTGCTCCATAGGGATACCATGTGAGTCCTCGTTCTCTAGCCGTGGAAAAAAACAACTTACCATTTTGCACCGAGCTGGCGCCACTGCTGTCCCGAGTCGGGTTTGGAGGGTGGGGGGGTTGATTGCGGGGAGAAGGGGTGGCCCCTCTAAAACAATTAACCGTTGAGCCTTTCCAAACTCAGTATGGCAAAGGAGGATCAGGTAGGCCCTTTTCTTGGCATGAAAGCGGCACCTACCTTATGCTAAGAAAACAGGGTTTACTGACTATAGGAGATCAGCAGAGACCAACGGTGTGAGCAGCACTTTGAAGCAAGCGTCTCTTTGCTAACTGTTGTGTGTTAGGCTGCAGGGACTGGAGGAGGTGGTGGAGGAGGAAGAGGAGGAAATCTGTGCTAAAATGGAGCAGCTCCTTCAAGTCACCTTCACGTGTCTGCCAGAGGGCAATTTGTCTTTTCTAATTTTTTCTCTCCCTCTCCTTATGCAATTGTTATAGATCTATATTTTACAAAAAGTCCTTTTAGCAGCAGCTCCAAAGATTTGCTGAGGAGCAAGAGCCTTTCTGTTCTTTGTGTTCACACATTACCATCCCATTATGTGTCCCCCTTCACAAAATTAATTGAACAGTGTTGTAGTGTTTTTTCCCACAGACTTCTGTTGCTTCTCCTGCAAAGAATTTGCTCTAGAAATGGTCTCCTGTAGACAAACGAAGGTCTGAGTGTCCAAGGAGAGGACAGACGCAATGTAATGTAATCTTGGTCTGGGCTGTGTCTCAGTATCTAGCTCAGCGTGATTTTGGTCGGCAACTATATAGTATAGAGTGCTACACAGTTCAAAGCTATGGAGGTAAATGAGGGCATTGCTTTCCATTGTTGTACAGTTTCTTAAATGGAGACACTCTTGAAGAAGGAGTTTGTTGTGCACTGAAAGCAGTGTCTCCAGTTTTTGTTTACATCTATGAAGCGAATGTCCTCATCCCCCTTCATCCCCTCCTCTCGTAAACATCGAAACAGCATGAGAGTTTTAATGTTTACTTCAACCAATCTCATCATATCAAGGAAAAAATTAAAAGGTGGGGGAAAAAGAGGCGCTTGTTTCCAAAAGTGCTGTGTGTGATTTTTTTGTATCTTCTTTTAAATGCGCCGTAACACTATCACGGCTCCTGAGCCAATCGAAGGGCAGCACGATGTGAGATTGGACGAGCACGGAGTCCACCTGGAAAATGCCTAGATGGGGGGAATGAAAGACACAAGCAGGGGGACAGAGAGGGATGGAGGGGTGGAGGGAGGGAGAAGCTGGGGGAATATTTCAGTGGAGAGATTTTGGTCACTGGGTCTCTTTCCCTTCTTTATGGACACAGACCATCTTCAGAGCTAACCCACCTAGGCTAAGCTCCTTAACTTAGCTCTTTTGGTTTGGTCTGAGGCGGCTGTGGCTGAGGGGGTAAAGCATAGTCAGTGGCTCAAATCCCAATGCCGAAGTTTCCTTTGACAAGATGCTGAACCCCCCAAAAATAACTCCCCATTGATGCTAATAGTAAGTTGGATAAAATCCTCAGCTAAATGACATGTGATGTAATGTAAATGGTTTCTCCCTCAGTAACATAAGAGTCCCTCCCTCTCTCTCTTACTCCTGACTGATGGTTTGCAGATCTCTTACCCATCTAACGTGGCATGCCTTACAGTTTCTCCTCATCTTTCCCTACTACTGATTCCCTTTACCTTCTCCTTATCCATAAGAAGCCACTCAGGCCAGTACTCAGTTACACACTTGCATGCATGCCTTGCCTGCCTACTTGGTTTCTTGCTCCTTTTATCTCTTTAACTGTTATCTAATATCTCTTCCTCTCCCGCTCTAACTCTGTTACCTGAAACAAAACGCTGTTTGGAGGCGATGTGAAACTGATGTTTCTCACCTCGCTCTCTCTCCAGTGAAGACCCCATAGGCTATGCTAAAAAAGAGAGTTTTGCAGGCCTTCCATAGTCGGCTACACCTACACCCAAGGTTTGACGTCCAGATTGTATCATCGTCTAAAAACAATGCCAAACAAGAAACGACTGTCCGAACATCTAACTAGAGAAATACACAACAGGGCAACTTGAACGTTCTCACACCAACCACAGGTTTACATCAAATATTTAAGTTGATTTTACAGTTATGCTTATAACTGAAAACCAACTGATTAATTACTGAAAAGAATCTGACTGTGTTGATGTTCCTTTTAGTAAACTCAGATGTATACTATGAACTGTCTGTATAGATGCACTCCGCCACTCACTGTCAAACTAAGTGCCTTCAATACCTTTTACCTCCATCTTATCTTTGAAAATGAGCTTCTCCTCAACAAAGACTAATGGATCTTATGCAAATGGTTGTGACTTCAAGGACAGGGGGATTCTCTATGGTTTGATGACTTGATCCGATAACGTGACTTTAGACTATGCAGGCGTAGTATTGATTGCAGCCTATAGCAAAGTCATACACTGAGCCCACAAAGCACGTTAATGATTGTGAAAGTGATAAATGTACCAGTTGCCCCATCAGATTACATTGTAACTACTGCTGCTGAGTCCTGGCTGCCAATGGAGGCAATTTACTTGACTGATTCCAAAAGTTTTTGTAAGTACATGTATAGACTTAGGGCCTAGGTTGAAAAATATCATATTTCCCTTTTACTATATGCAAGCTGAGAATCCCCAAGATGTCACAAGATGTATTGGTGGGTCTGGGGAATGGACAAATAGATCATATAAAAGAAGTCAAACTCTGGACTTATTTTATACTTTAAGTCTTAAAACACTTGGTTCCACATGTGCTTTGTTACACACTGCTAACTAAATCAGTGCTATAAAACCTGACGCTGTAAGGAAGGTATTGAAAAGTGAAAACATTAAA